TTCAAACAATGGGCGATGTGCTGCTCAGAGACAGGTTTCTGTTTCGATACCGAGGTATACGAAGGTAAAAAAGCCGATACTGCTGCCAGTGTTAGTCTAGGATCTTCTGTAATCTTGAAAAAAATGGAGGTTATCGAAAATCCCTCTGAGCATTGTTTCTACTTTGATAACTTTTTTACCAGCTATGAACTTATGAGAGAGCTATCTGATAAGAAGGTCTGCGCTTCTGGAACAGTGCGCAGTAACCGAATGGGCCGTTGTCCTTTGACATCTGACAATGAGGTAAAAAAAGAGAAGCGGGGATTTTTTGATTACCGTTTTGACCAAACAAACAATATATTTGCGGTAGTGTGGAAAGACAATAGCTGTGTCAAACTCCTGTCAAATCATGAAGAGGTCCTGCCAATAGCCAAAGTCGCTAGATGGTCGCGAACGGAAAAAAAAGAAATACTTTTGCCTCAGCCCAATGTTATAGCTAAGTACAATAAATATATGGGGGGAGTAGACAAATTAGATTGGAATATCCAAAAATATAGAATTAAAATTAGAGCAAAGCGATGGTATTTCCCCTTATTTACAAACGTTATTGATATGGCTCTAGTAAATGCTCACGCAGTCTACTCTATTGCAAATGGTAGTGTTCCATTACTTGATTTCAGGAGAGCTGTAGCCAAAGCTCTTTTAAGGGTGAATTCACTTTCAGACCCAAAAAAGCTTGGAAGACCATCTTTAAAAATGAAATCTCAAAAACGTGTGCCTGAACCAGTGAGACGAGATCCAGTTGGACATTATCTTGAAAGGACTCCCGAAGGCAAGCAAAGGAAATGTGCGGTCTGCAAATCGAATGTAAGAAAACAGTGTTCTAAATGTAATGTTGGTTTACATGTAGAATGTGTAGTTGCTTGGCATTCAAACTAATTGCTTTTTGTCAATATTTTGTAATAAAAATATACCTTGCACTAACCTTGTACTTATGTTATTATTAAGCATAGTATATGCCATGATCCCCAATTGGGGATCCACGATAAAAAACGTCAAAAAATGACAGATTTTATAAATACATACCAATGGAGTCTATTTTTGTCAAATAATTATACATCAGTATTCAAAAAATCGATATTAGCAAGAAAAGAAAAATTGGCAGTTAATGGGTTAATATAGATTATGATAATAATATAAAAATCAATACATATTTTTTTAAATTTATCTCAGTTTAATTATATAATACAAAAGTTATTTTGCATTCTCGCAATTGATACCACCCAAAATCCTTTCTCAGTATTGATAGCTTTATCGTGTTCGACCCAATTTTCCCAACTTTTCCATTAAATCCATACCTTTTGTTGACAAAATTATCTGTATGTGTGTGTGTTCGATGTACTTACGTTGGGAAATTCAAGGAAAACAAAACACTATCGTAAAGTTGCGAAAGCCGGCGACATTTTTGGTATTTTATTCGGTTGATGGAAATAAGGGCAGCATGTTTTTCGAGTTTTATTCCATGCGAATGGAATAAGTTTAAAAAAATGATATGATGGAGTCGAAAAGGTACTTTCTTAACGCAGATAGTATCAAAAAAGTATCCATTTAACTCTAATGGATAAAAGAATTTAATTACATAGTTGTTATATAATATAATATCAGTATATCTTGGGTTTCAATAATATCAGGTTTTAACAACTATTGTTAGATTTGGAACTTGATTTTATCATTTCATTTCAATTCACGTTTCGGCAGGTTATTACAATTAGCTAGGCATAAACGAGCTAATGGAAAACTTCGCAAAAAATGGTACTAAATTCCTAACAAATAAAATTTGCCTTCTAAACGATAATAGGAAAGAAGTGTTCAGAGTTTATACTAAAATTGATTAAAAATACAAACATGTTGATTTAAAAAATAAAAACAAATAATAATGTCAATTCTGTATCCTTCTTGTCTCCTTAATTATCCAGTCTTAGCTTGAGTGGAGGATCACTATTGATTAGGAAATATTAGGATCATATGACCAGCTATATAAAAAAAAGTTGGAAAAACAAAAAATTAAAGAAAATAAAAAATAACAACATAACTAATGCTAAGAAACAAAAAAGTATGATAAATCTATAATACAAATTAATTCCATAAAGCTATATTTACCTGTCTGCCCTGACTAAATCAGTCAATTTTTTATTAAAATTATTAGTACTTAGGTACAAAAAACATTAATTCTGATTAGACAATTTATTTGCTAACTAAACGCTACAAATATCTAGCAAATTACTATTCAGCATAACCAATATTAGTAACAGTGTTCTTGGCTGTATGGATTCACTTCTAATGTCAAAAAAATAAATGGTAATAATAAAATCTACGTAAATGATGCCACCATTGTATAAAAAAGAAAGTTTGTAGTTAAACCATAGTATAAAAAAGAAAAGTTTGTGGTTAAACTGTGATGCCACTAACAAAACATACTACCAGCGATGAAAAGCATGAATGCAGTCTCCAGTGCCTCAAAAATAGTGCTATGAGGAGTGGTAACCTCGACAGGAGAACTGCAACCATAATAACCAAGCAACCAGAGAAAAGAACAGTCTAGCAAAAAAAATAGTATGATTTTAAAACTGAAACCCTTACTAAATGCATGATTTATTGTTGGTCTGGTGGAACAAGTGAAAGATTTGGGTCGAAGTATTGGAACTGCAAAACTACGATGGAAGATCAAGGAATAAACTTTAACTATATTAGAAATCAAGACAAAGTAAAAGAAGACGAAAAAGTACATTTACAATTTACACCATTAAAAATATCAGAAAAAATTACACTGGGGGATTAAATTTTTAAGTTTATTGGGATATTTGAGGACAAGTTAACACCCAGAATAAAAATCTACTCATACGTAAATATACAACAAGGTTAAAATGATGAATGGTTTGCACATGCGAGCAAAAAAGTAAATTCATAATCTATTAAATAGTAACATGGACGATCGATTTCGAGCACTACATTTTTCTACTCACCGTCAGGTACTGCAAATGTTACTTACCAGCTAAAAGAACATTAGAGTTGATACTAGAAGTTATGTCAATATCAAGTGTATTTGATTTTGGTGACTACATTGCAAATAAACTTACCGATATGTTCGGTCGGAATAATAATGTCAACATGCTTTACAAATACAGTTTAAAAGGAATAGAACATAATGTAATGCAGGTAATGAATGTAAATAACTAAAATCGATTATAAAGAAATTTCTGTGGATACTGTCAAAGGCATAAAGGGACAAAGAAACGCAAAATGGTAGGTATAATAAGTAATGTAGAATCACAGTAAAAGAAATGGAAAACTAATAAATATATCTTCAACAAATTTTTTTAACACCATTAAGACGAGATTAAAAAATCTGGTCAGATAGGCCATGTTATGAAAAAACCTAATATATCCAAAATATCCTTCAATTGCCATAAATTGGCAAATATTTTGGTTCAAACTTGAATTAATGTATATATGTGTGAGCTGTTTACTTTTCCTCTTGTATAACATTTGGAAAAAAAAGTTTGTCATTTTATATAGATATACTAGATTTACAAAAATATGTAACATTATAAAAACATTATTATACCATTGCAATAGTAAAAACGCAAAAAATACTTTCAGATATTATTAGAAGGCATTCTAGCGCCACCTACCCGATGTACTGGAAAACGAATATATTTTCTCTGCGAGATTTTCGCTAAAGTGTCTCCCAATAGTCTCGCATATCGCCAACTAGATGGAAGCACACAATCCTCTAGTCGCCATGTTTTACCGAAATTTTATTTTAAAAGTTGAAGTTATTTCTCGAGCGAAAATAATAGTTTTGTAGTTTTCGTAATTCCTATATAATTATACATCACAATAGCAAATTACACGTTTTATTTTTTAGTCAGATGGAGTTTCAAAATACAAGTTTTGTAAACTGTGTTTTGAAAAATCTTAAGGGCTGTTAAAAATCTAGAGGCCAAATCTTCAAACATACTTATCTCAATTTTATACCCTTGATCCTGGAGCTTGCTGAAAGCTTACAGGACCATTTTAGGACTATAACGTTGAAAAACATTACAGAAGAAAAGGCAAAAATGTACCCTCATCGGCTATAATAAATGTATTGATCGTGTTTACAAATACAAGTGTTTTGAATAGAATATAAACAAGTATTTTCAGAATCAAACAATTCTTTAATAATAAGAGTCTAAATCTAAAACTCAAAATTTGTAAGCGAGATGAAAAAAAAAAAAAAATAGAAGCCTTTGAGATGCGACAATAAAGAAGACAATAAGAATAACGTACACAGAAAAAGTTACCAGCAAATAGGCAAATCTTGTTAAGACTTATAATAAACAGAAAAATATTTTTGCAGTTAATGAATTAAACAAACGAAAAACTTTCATTTATTCAGATAATATTTATTATTAGTCAATGTAGTGTTCAAATTTAATTTCATGTATTATTTTTAATATTTTAATGTGAAACTACATCACCATTTTGCGTCACAAACTCTGTTTTGCGTTGCCACAGAAAATTGTAATTATTAGCAGCCGATATTTACTTCTTAGGTAAGTAATAGTCTGTTTTTAAATATTGTCAGAGTTGCAAAGTAAATGTTCGACAATCAGTCTCGTTATTTAAACTTTCATCATATCAAGTGAATCTATGTTTGAATCCGCCAGACAGACTAACAGAATAATCATTCGACTAAATTAAGGTCTCGATATTTTACATCTTAATAAAAGTTTTTAATTAGCATAATATACAGTCCATTCCAAACGAATTAGTTTTTTCATTAGTGAGAGACGGAGCCACAACCTTGTTGATTTGATTAATTATGTTCATGTAATCACTTCTTAGGAGAACCAATGTGGTCACCCACCATCAGCAGCTTAAAAAAAGTTTCAGAAAGCCTTAAACCGTTAATACTGTTTACTGATATTATCAATATTTGTTTATAGTTTTCTAGGAAAGAAGAAAAACAAAAGGGACAACATTTTGCATTTTTATTTTTAAAAATAAACAATATTGTTTAAATCTTTAAAAAAAGGGTGTTTTTTCACTAAGATCCTAGGCTATTACAATAAATTAATCCTTTATTAGGTCTTAAGAACTTTTATTTATATAACGTATATCTTTTCTAAAACGTTTTAGTACTATCAGTACCAGGGGCATATTAGACACATTAAGTGATATTAACATTTGTTAACATGGTATTTACACATTTTCATCTATAAACACACCGATTTATTTTATAAATTAAGTTAGGATATAGTTCTATACATATATTTCTAGAATAACAGTCACTTTTAAGTATCGGATAAAAGATGTAACCGACCGGGACCTTTGTTACGATTACGAATCACCACTCACATTCTCTCGCACACTATTTACATAAAAGTCTATAAAAAATTCCTCAGGACTCACATTTTCCATCGCCCAAGTCATTAACCTTTTTAAATAAATATTTATAAAAATATTTGGGATTGTCTTTGGCTATTAGGAAGTCGATATGGTTCCATTTCTTATGAGGTATGACGTGAAATCCACATCTAACTGACGGCTGGATTTCTGAATATATTTGATTGGCATTCTGAAAATAATTTAGCAATTATACTATTTATAACTAAATAAATAAGTAGTAGTTGGAATGTAATTGAATTAGTTAATATTTTTATTCAATTAAAACGTTAATTTATATATAAATATCTAATAATTTATCAGTCAAAAGCTTTACTGAAATTAGTGTAAATTGGGTCCACGTGGGCAATGTTAATAAAGTTGGAAAGAATGTTTTTTTTTGAAAAGTTGGAATTTTTTTTTGTTTAGGAAATCATCGGTCATACTGCAGTTGTTTGTATAATTGTACATCTACCTTTGCATTATGTCTACATAAATACAGAGAAAGACAACGGCCCTCAGTATTCAGCGGTTCAGAAATCTATGACTAATGTTGAATGACTAATTATGCTAGCGGTCAAATCAGATAACTAGCAAAGGGTGCAAAGAATCTCCAAAGTCATACATACATTTTAACACACAAAAAAATAAAAAATATTAATAAAAAAGAAAGAAATAAACCAGCTTTTAAAATAAACAACAACTTTGGCAAATATATTAAAAAGGGCCAAAAGAAAAAGCACTAACACAGTGGTGTATACAAATTTAAATGTGGCGACTGCCCAAAAACTTACATCGGTCAAACTGGTAGAACTTTTAACATACGTATAGCAGAATATAAAACGGCTTTTAATAATAGAAATACAGATTCTATATACGCACTTTGCCTTCTAGGTCATAATAATTTATTTAATAACGAATTTCAAATTCTTTACATTCAAAATAACGGCCTCAAGTAAAATTTATTAGATTCTATGGAAATTAACAAATTGAAAAAATACGGATCTAATTCTGAATGACCAACTTGAGATAAACAGTTCTCCCCTCCTCAACTTATAAAGACCATACAGTGTACAGTGTACATAAAGTGTACAGTACATTCAACCAACTTACACCTCTAAACGATTAATGGAATTTGCAGAAAACCTTTCGATTTCGATTTTTTAAATATAAATTATATTTAGCACGTTAGTATTTGTTTTAGAAAAAAATTATTAAACAAGTAGGTAAAAGAAATTTACGTTAAATAACATTATGCAAGAATACTATTTATTAAAGCCACTCTTACTCTAGCCACTCCTACTCAATTTCTATCCTCACCTCCAAGAAGTGTGACTTAATCACACGGGTGGACCCTGGCAAACCTGAGCAACCCTACCAGAGATTGGGTAACCAACCCCAGTGAAAAGTAGTGTCAGGGCCGACGAGGAAGGGAGAAATGATCACCGAAAAGTGGGTTAGACATAGGGCTAACAACTCTATCCTAGAAAACACACATGTTACGAATGTTCAAGGAAAGAAAACCGGACTGATCAAACGATGAGAACTGCGCGAGAAAAAGGTACATGATTTAAGAATCGCGACATGAAACATCCGATCCCTATACAGATCGGGAGCCCTCCAAAATCTGCTCTGTGAACTCAATAGATATGACATAGATATAACAGCTCTGCAGGAAATGTGATGGATTGGGAGTGGCAACATAGACAAATGTTTTGAAAAACAAAAGTTTTCAGTGTTTTATTGGTATATAAAATATTCAACTTATAATTACCTCAATTGTTGCCAACCAATCATTCTCACTAGCGAACACAGCCATAGGGATTTGTATTTTGGATAAATCGTAAACGGGTGGTGTTGGAGTACCGTATTTTTTTAAATTCATTTCCTCTCCATAATCGAACCTTTTAAAAACACCCGTTTCGTAGATTTGTAAATAGTGAGTCCATAATTCGACGGCCACGCTGTCTAGCATCTGTGTAGCAAACTGCGGATAGTGTAGCTAAAAATATTTATATATAGAAAAAAGAAAAATATTTACCTTATATTACTCATTAATATTTATATTTATTTTTAGATATGAAACAATGAATGAGTTGTAATGGCTTTTATGCAGTTTAAAACAGATATTTAGCTTTTCTGTCACTACGTAAATGAATAGTTTTAAAGTGTTTTACAACCAAAAGACACATCTTTCTTTTTTCTCTGTATGTCTGGGTTTCGTTCACACTATAACATTATTGTGTTCAAGCTGACCCTTATTGGAAAACAGTAAAATAAAATATAGGCTTATTATTGTTTTTTTCCTTAGGTGGATGATTCTTTGTTGGTAAAGCGTTGTTGTAGATTTCGTGTCAGTTTTTTAACTAGGCAACTAGTTGAATTACGTCGATTGTTTACCAGTATCGCAGGGACAACGTTTGTTTTAAACCAGTATGGGTATTTTCCAATGTTTTGTTATTGAGACACCGTTGGTGTTATTCCCGGACGAATTCAGCATGTCTTTGGAACTGGATATTGTCTACATATTAAGTTGATTACATCTTATATCTTTATTTTTATAAACAAATATACGTATCTTGAAAAGAAATTCACCGATCGGATTTTAGAAAGGATTTTACAATCTAGTTCTATTTGTAATTAAAAGAGCTTTAATATAATGCTTTTTTTGTATAAAATAAGTTAAAATAGGTAAAATTTTTTTTTATTTAAAGAAAAATTCGCATCCACCTAATGGTTATTAGAGACGGATCTATACAACTTTACAATAATAGATATATTACGTGGTTACAAAAAAAATCATACAAAATAGTACTAAAAAAGTCAGCAATTTTGTACAACAAAAAAAAATACAGTCAAATCTCATGGAACACATTGATGGCTTTTAAATAATCTATTAGGTTCTTTGAGTACCTATCTATTTTGACCTAGCACAACTGATAAGTTTGAATCTATATTATAACTATATTATATTGCACTGACCCATAAATTCTTAATCAACAAAGAATCTTCTCCAACCTGCAGAAACTGTTCTCTCCCATTGACGGTGAAGCATATTCTGATTGACTGCCAGTACCACGAAGAAGCAAGAAGAAAATATGGAATCTCTGATGACATCAAAACCACATTAACCATAAACACTGACCATGTAATACATTATTTAAAAGATTTACGTTTATATACATCTATTTAATGTAAATAAAATGAATTCTTGTGTATGTTACTCCACTAATAACCCTGCGTGGTTGATGTGGATTATATGTTAAAATAAAAAAAAAACTATATTATATACAGATTGTTGATGTTTATATTTGTCACATTCAAAGATATGCTTTACTGTTAAGGTTGAGTTGCAGTGCTCGCATATTGGTGGGTTACATTTAAAAAAAAAGATAAGAGTGTGTGAGTCTAGTATGGCCTAATCGTAATCGGTTAACTACACTCTGTTCATGACAATTTTTGTAAAAAGATTTAGTTCCTTTAACTGTATCTTTAATTTGTCGTAGATTAGACGTTGATATTTGCCATTCGTCATGCCAAACTTCTAAGATTTTTGCCTTAATAGAAATCTTTAAGTCATCAGGACCGCACTTTAATATTATTTCTGATTGCGCACTTGACACTGCACTACGCGCATTTAAGTCTGCTTTTCATTTCCAAGGATAACCATGTGAGAAGGAATCCATATGAAGTCAACCGTTCTTCCTTTTTCTTGACATGTGTGAAGCTCTGATTTGATCATTTTTTCAATTGGGTGTTTAGGATATAGTCGTTGAATTGAAGTAATCGAACTCAGAGAATCAGAAAGAATCACCGCTTGGACGATATTGGTATCATTAATAAACTCAATTGCTCGATAAAGAGCGAATAATTCGGCTGTATATATGCTACAGTGGAGAGATAATTGAAATAGATATTTACTTGAATTGATCACAAAAGCGGCACCATCTCCATTGCTAGATTTTGAAGCATCTGTAAATATTTTGGAGAAATTTTCATAAGTTTAGAGTATATTTGACAAAATAGTTTTTATTTCTGAGGGACGTATTTATATATTATATTTTCTCAAATATACATTGCACTGTGGAATATTGATTGACCAAGGGATATGAGGATCGTTGATGTTTGGATCGAATATGTCAGAAAAATCAAAGTTTAATTTCTTGCAATATGTTCTAATTCTTTCATAGAGAGGTAAAAATTAAAAATTTAAAATGGCGAAAAATTCACATTTCTCTTTCAATCGTTAATTGTGCATAAACTATTAGGTCAAATTTAATGCAGTACAGCTCAAGTTAAAGCTTTGTTTATGTACGTTTATTTAAAATTAGGTTGATTTTACCCTCATATTGGCATAAAATTAGGTTGATTTGGTACAATAAATTAAAAAATAATTAAAAACACCGTTTTTTGCACTTTAAAAGAGTTACAAACTCTTGGAGGTTACTTTATGCATTGCCCTTCATAAGGCCGTGCTGTTATCAAAAATTCTCTAATTAATGCTCAAAATTATTTATTTTTGTCTCTACAGCTCTACAGTAAATAAAAGACATTAAACTTAAATAAATAAAGGATATTAAAAAAATCCGAGTGACTAACTTAGTATAAAGATTTGTGTACTTACAGGATCCATTTGGTCGTAGTCGTCTCCAAACAATAAATTGTTGATCGATTGAATAAGATACATGCCCCCTGAAAAACGTGTCAGTGGTCTCAAAAATATAGAATAACCTGGTAAGATTTCTCCGTTCCAAAATGTGTAAATAAACCTCTAAAATAAACAACAAAAAACTCAAAATGTTAAAACTGACTTTTGTCTTTTTAGGAAATAAGAAAGACAGTTAAGATTTAATTTCAATACAGAGCACCACCATTCGCTTTAAGCTTTTTATTCGTATGGAATCATTAGAGCGATTTTGTGGCAAGCTTTATGAATAAAACATTATGTTTATAAGTAACATACGTATAAGTAATCATTTAAAAATAATCATACACACAGACCCTGCAGCGACATCAAAAAACAATAGAAATCCGGAGATTTTTTACGTTTGAAATCAATTCAGGATATTTCTCAAATCTGAGCTTTCTACAATTTTTAAAGTAAACAGACGATAAAATAACTGATATAATAACTGATATTTATGGGAAATCTATAATTAATACATCACTTTATCTAGACAAAAACTCTATAGTATTATGTGCAAAATGTCGAAAATATAGTGTATTAATATATTAAGACAAAGCTGTAAGAAATACAAACAAAACAGGAAAATATAAAAACTAGAATTAAGCGATGACAATAGAGAGCGAATTGACATAAGTCTGGGATCAAATTAACCAGAGGAAAAAGGAGAAAAAAAATCGGACAGTACCTACGTGAAAGAATATAGATGTACACAAAGTAGCAATTTATCATACGAAGAAAAAAAGTAACAGAACTAGTTGTAGAGAAAATTTTAAAAGAGTCAACAGCAATTTCAGAACAATAAACTTTTAGCTAAAAAATACTGAGACATCCAATATTTTATTATGAAGAGTGGATTTAGAAGGAGAAAAAGGGACCAACTTAAGAGTTAAGCGGGTATAAGAAGATGTAAATGCTTGCTGATTTAATAAATGGAGTTAATTGATCCTTACTTTCTAACACTCTTGAATAAATCATAATCTTATGCAACGCTACAATTTGGTAATACATAACCAAAATCTCAACAAAAATTACTCACTTTCAACGTGGGCCATACATAACTAGTATACAGTGCGATACTTTTCACTCCGGTAAAATTAATGACAGGAGCGATTCCTATCATAGCCTTAACATTCTCCTTTGCTTCTTCTGGAAACGTCGATGAATAAATATAGAAGCCAGAGGATCCCATGGAGTAACCTAAATAAATTGATTGACGGTTCGTCTCCTGCGATACAAAGTTTACTACTGCTCTGACATCGTATAATCCTAAATTATCTATTCTAAAACGAAACAAAATGAAAAATATAGATCTTCCAAAAATTCTAATAAATATATATATATATTACTGTAAAAGCCCGAAATTGTGGACATTCGTCATATTTTTTGGTGTAAAAAACATATATTTTTATCAAATAAAAATAAAAAATTAGTTGGGTACATTTTTTATTTGGGAAAATCATTTTAAGAAACATGAAGATTATTGTATTTTAAACAAACAGCGCATATATCGATTCGTAACGAAAATATTATCAACTTTTTTTTTTAACTTATTATTAAAAAAAACATATCTTTGAATTGCACAAAAGCCCCTTGCCTTTACAACTACACGTCTATAACTTATCCTCCACTTTTAGAATTAATAAAAGCTGTTTCTCTTATGCCCGATTTTACCAACGATACCTAAACAGTTGCCTTCAAAAGTAATGGACCGCAGGAGTGTGACGTCACGACTGTCACATTGTCATTATTACTTTCCAAACAAAAGTTGAAATGTCCAATCTCAAGACTTTTTAATTTCTATAAAGTTAACATTTTGCATCCTCTGCTGCTTTTTCTTGTAAGGATAGTGTTTTTTACGATAATACCATCATAATTCAGAGTTCTATTTCTATGGTTTATGGATAATGTGATAAGCCAAAATGGATAAGTTAAAAATGCCGGAAAAACAATTAGTTCTGACTCTTATCGTTTTTTTTTCTGTTTTCTCAGTAAGCCATCTGTTCTTCACGGTTTGCAGTCACTCGGCTTATTGTACATTTTCCATCAACTATTATATATTTCATATGGACCTTTTATTTGACCTGCAAATATCTGCATTGAGACCTATTTGAAGCAGAGACAGATTCCGTGACCATCGCCCGCTCTCTTTTTGTTCTCATTATAAACTGTGTAAAACGTCATAATCTTCCCTAAATATATTTGCTGCTTACAAATTGATTAATATCAGAACTTTAGCGATTATTTTGTTTTCGAACATAGCTTTTGTATAATTAAGTTCTCATTGTGTTATAATATGTTTACATTTTAAATAAATAATACGTTTATATCTTACGTGTACTTCCAGTAGTTTTTGTTACCAGTAGTTAAGTTGACATGACCTTTACTATACCACGTGCCCCTGTAATTTAACATCCATACGTCATATCCAAGGTCGCCTAATAATCTAGCTAAAATTGACAAAGTAATAAAATAATTAATTTACTTTTAGAAAATAATTGAAATGTAAAAAACTAATAAGATGCACTTTGTATATAAAACGAACATAAAATTTTAATGTATATTGAACAGTAAATGCTTCAAAACATCACGTAACTTAAATCAATAAAAATATTATTTAAACTGAAGATGACATCTTTTTCTTTTTTAGGTGCCGTGTCTATAAGAGATTGACGATGGCTGTAAATTCGTCTCTTTTATGTGCTTTTCTTTTTAAGGGTTGGAGATCTAGACCTGTTTAAAAATGTTCGCATTCACAAGGCATCTAAGTTGATAACTAAATATTCTGTTTTCTTCATGCTGACTTGTAACTCCCATTTTACATATTCTCTATATAGACGCTTTATCATAAATTCTAGTTCATTAGAATCTTGAGCTAGGACGACATGTTCATCCGCAAAGTTCAGGGAGAACAGTAGGTATGCCATTTCCTTTGGTGATTCCCGTTCCTGGCAGTGGTTTTTCCAATTGTGTAGGGCTGCCCCAATATATAATTTAAACAGTAAGGGTGATATACTGCATCCTTGTCTTAGTTATCTAGTTACTTTTATTGGCTCTAATAGTCTATTTTAGATTTTTAGGTAAGTAGTGTTACTACTGTATGCCTCTGTGATTATTCCTAAAAGGTATATACTAATGCCGAGTGGTTGTAAAGCTTGCCACAATTTAAGTCTTGGAACTGTAGGAACTGTAGGAACTTGTAACATACGCCTTTTCTAGGTCGATAAAGCCTAGATGTACTTCGGTACCAACCGATTTTCTTTTTTTATTAATTCATCATCACGTAACGCTACAACCTTGGGTGGGTCTTGGCTGACTGTACAACTTTATTCCAATTTGTTCGGTCTTCCTTCAACCTAGGGTCAAATGGAATGTTCATGTTCCGGAGATCTGCTTGGATGTTATCTCTCCATCGCATTCTGGGACGTCCGAAGTATTTTTCGTTCAAGAGCTTTTCTTCGTTTGCTTTGGTCATGGTCAACTTTTTGTGAGATTTTTTGATTTTATGAGCTTATTAAGTGCAAATAGACAGCGGTTTGCAGATTTATTTCTTCAGTGACATCGTTGTCAGCTGTGATAACGGCCCTCAGATATTTAAAACGTTGTACTCTTTCGAAATTGAAGGTGTTGACCGTAACATTTTGTCCTATTCTCTTTTTGTCTCTTCGTGTCGTTCTGATGATGTCTTTCTTTTAAAATTATGTTTAAGACGGTTTTATATGCCGTGTTTAGGAGTGAGATTCCTCTATAATTCGCGCATTTTGTTTTGTCCCCTTTTTTGTGTATGAGCACTATTATGTTTTCCATCGTGCTGGTATCCTTTCTTCTAAGCATATGTGCGTTATTAGCTAGTGGATTTGGCGATGTAGTGCATCTCCCCATATTTCAGAGGTTCTACTGGTATCTCGTCCGTACCCGGCGCTTTGTGATTTTTCAGCTTATTTAAGGCCTTTTGGGTTTTTTCAAAGGAGGGATTTTTGACGGGCATGTCCGCTGTGATATAGATCTCTTTTTTGTGCTGTTCTTCCTGTATGATGTTTAGAAGGTCCCTAAAATACTTTTTCCATTCTTCAGTTACTTCTTTACCGTTGTTTATCATACGGCCTTAATTGTCTCTCAGTGTATGGATGGAATCGGTTCTATGTCCTGTTTTCTCAGAGGAAATTGCTTTATATAATTCTCTGGAGCCTAGTTTGGGCCGGTCTCTCTCCATAGCGTCATATTTTTGTTGTTCATAGTTTCTTTTCTTTGTGCGAATTATTTTTCTTGTTTCTTTTCGGCAGTCGTCATATTCCTTTTTTACTTTAGTCTGTTTGCAGTTGTATCCAAGTCTTCCTTACTGTTTGTCTTTTTTCTAGCTGTTTCCGACATTCCTTGTCATACCATGTTTATGCTCTCTTCTGCCTACTCCTAAAGATCTTGTCCGCTGTCTTGGTTATTATTTTGGTTATTGTTCTATATCATTGTATTGTCTTTCAGAGTTCAAGGTTTGTTCAAGTTGTTCTCTATAATTTTGTTGTTTCTGTGTATTGTGTATTTCGTCCATATTCCATTGTGGGTTTATTGTTGTTTTATTGTATTTGTGGCTAGATATTCTGGATTTGATTTTTGCTCTGACTAAGTATTGATCTGTGTCTACGTCTATTCCTCTCAGACTTCTTACGTCCATAATATTGTTCCCATGATGGGTATCTACAATGATGTGGTCAATTTGGTTACCCGTAATATGGTCGTTTGAGACCCAGGTTTGCCTATGGATGTCTTTATGCGGAAACATGGTTTACTTTATTAGCATATTATTAGCTGCTGCAGTTTCTGTGAGTCTTAAGCCATTGTCGTTGGATATATTGTGTAGGCTGTGTTTACCTATTGTGGAGTATAGGCTAGGCTCTTTGTATATTTTAGCATTAAAGTCCCCGCAGAGTACGCGCATATCTTGTTTGGGCATCGTATCTATCTCTCTTTCTAAGGCATCGTAGAAGTCATCCTTGATATCTTCATCCTTCTCTTCCGTTGGTGCATGCGCTGAGGTAATCGAAATATTGTATTGTTCTCCCTTCATTCGTATGGAGCATATCCTTTCATTTACAGGTTTAAAATTTAGTATATTCTGTACTAGGTTGTCTCTAATCACAAAGCTCGTTCCAAATTCATGTCTTCCGTTTTTGTTACCGCTGAAGAAGATGGTGGATTTACTTATTTTTATATTTCCATTGTCTGGCCATCTTATTTATTGGACTGCTGTTATATCCATTTTCATGTTTTTTAGTTGTTCCACAGCATTAATAGCAGCTCCAGGTCTGTACCAACTCTGGACATTACAAGTTCCAATATTCATTGTCCTTTTACATTGCATTTGTCGTTTTTTGTGTTTATCTGTAAGATTCCAAGGCAAAGTTGCAGTTTTCATAACTAGTTTCTTTTTCCGAGGGTGAGTAGTTAACACTCCGTTCAAGTCTCCTCTTTCATCCGGGCTTGGGACCGGTTGCAGTAAGGTGATTTCCGAGCTACTCAATCCACTCGTTCCTTACCTTAATCCAGGCAGAGTTTTTATTAATTGTTAGAGTATAAACAAATTATCCGGGAAGGATTTACCAGGCGTAAATTCACTTTGATCCTCGCTAATTAGATGTCCATCATCTTGTATTTTTCTGTTTATTATCTTTCCAAACAATCTCCGGAAAGTAGGCAGGATACTTAATCCACTGTAGCAGTTAGGATCTTTTCGATTACCCTTTTTAAAATGGACACTTGGTGAGCTGTTTTTTATTCAGAAGTTACTTTAATTTGTTGGCAGCATTCTATTAGAAGCGGACCTCTTGCTTGAAGTAACTTTACAGCTATATTGTAAGGTTCTGGAGATCGCATGTTTTTCATTTTAATTAACGCAGTACGGACCTCTTTGTTAGTAGTATCAATAATACTATTTGTTTATCTCTCCGTACTGTATTCCTATCTCATATATTCCAATCTGGACTCTTCTAGTAAATTTTTATAGTGATTTTCCCACTTTTCTATAGAAATTAAGTTGTTTAAGGAGTTATGGGTGTTTTTCTTTAGATTAGTGATAGTTCTCAATGCTTCCGTAGTCTGAGAACCACTAATTAAATTTTCAACTTTACACGCATTTTTGTTCACAGAAATCGTTTATTGCTACTTTTATTTGATTGCGTGCTTCTCTGGTTTTTCTTTCATATGTTACTCTATTGGGAGATGTTTTATTTGTTAGCCATTTCTTATATGTTTTTCTGCTTCTTTTATTTCATTGCGTGCTTCTCCGTTTTTCCTTTGATATGTTACTCTATTCCTAGTTATTTTATTTGTTAGCCATTTCTTATGTATTTTGTTTTTTTCTTGTATCAATTCTTTTACTTTTTTTGTCATCCCTGGTGGTTTGTGGTGTTTTTTGTCATTGTTTTCTGTTCCTGGTACTACATACGCAATTTTTTTATTATCGTTTTGAGGTTGTTGTATTCTTGTTCTACATCCATATTTCTTTTCATCTCATTTATATCCTTTTCTAATCTAGGTTAAAAAAGATGTTTAATAATTGGTTGGAATAAAAGGTGCAATTTATATCTCTCCGTTTTGTACTGTATAGTATTGTTTCTCTCACTTTCAGTATTCTGTTTGTAGTATTGTTTGAAGGGGCCAAAAGATTAGCTAAAAGAAAATAGTGATCTATCCCACAGTTAGATCCCCTTTTTACTCTGCAGACTTGACACTTAAATAGTTTATTATTTACGAATATGTTTATGTTAAGAGTATTCTTTTTCGTAATTACCATTGTTTTTTTCTTTGCAGTAATTTTAGGAACATATTTTTTACCTTCGGTAAAAAATATATTCTTCTTCGGGAGTTCAACTACCTTGTTCAGGTAAGTAATACCATATTTTCGGCATATCGGAAGTTATTGACAATTCTTCCGCTAACTTTAGTACCTTCTTGTGTCTCATCCACAGTTCCGAGTACAGGTGGAATGATAATTTCGAAAGTATACACGCCTTGTCTATCTCCTCTTTGCATTTTTTATGGTCCCAGTATCCCCTTCTGCGTTCTAATGAAAATATTTTGGTTCCAAGAGAGTTCACCTATTATGTTTATGGCATCGGTATTGATGTTCTTTCTTTGTAAATCTTTTATTAGTTTTTCCTGTTTGACATTATCAAAGGCTTTTTCATAACCTACGAAATACAAATACGTACCTTTTTGTTGATCGCAAAATACCCGTACCGTTCCTGAAACCGAATTGTTTTTGGCCCATACCAAAAGAGATATGTCTTCCATTCAAAAATAACAAAAAACAAAAACGTATAGCAAACACATTTTATAGTACAGTAGATAAAATTAAAAGAAGAGACAGATAAAACATTTATACAATGAAATTAATTCGAAATAATATGAAAAAGATTCATAATTTTACGTAATACCTAATTTCCAAATTATTTGAATTATTTGTGCTTTGTTTGTTGTTAACAAGATAATTTTGTCATCACCAACTCTATTAATTACACATTAAACATAATTACCTCGTTATTATAAATGCATTTTCCAATTATAATTAATAAATATAAATCGCTTTGAACGAATTACTTACCTAATGATACGTTTCCTCTATTAACCCAACCGAAAGCACTCATAGCGATCCCATGTACTATAATAATGGGATTCTTTTGTGTTATTTTTGAGTACGCCCTTTCGACAAGCACTCGGTATCCATCTTCGGTGGTAAGGTAATGTTCTTCGGCACTAAAGCCAGGCCAACTCTGAATTAGCTCGGTCTTTAACAATATTTTATACATTAGAATATAAATATATATATATATATATATATATATATATATATATATATATATATATATATATATATGTATATATATATATATATATGGATATATTGGGTTTAGTAGTCAATATATTGGCCTTTAAGTAAAACTCTTTTAGGTTTGCTAAGCTTTCGAGTTTATTTTACTCTTTTTCAAAACATACTAAAAATTAACATAAAAAATTTACATTAGAAAAATGAAGTTCTTATGTCTTAAATAGGCTTACCCTTGTGAGAATTGTCTTTTAAAATTAGCAAAATTTTTACATTTTGTCATTATGTCATTAACATAATGACATTAAATTTGATTTACTTTTTATTTCTGTCAAAACTTATTACTAAGGTTTCCATATCTCTTCTATTTTTTTATATTTATTTTAGGTGAGTTTGACAGAAGAAGTGTCTATGTTTATGCAAACCTTCATTGCAAATTTTGATATAATATTAGTTATTAAACAAGCAACAGAGTTTATGTTACTAAGTATTTAAGAAAGAAAAAATACAAATAAAAATAAATTTTATCTCGTTTGAACTTGGAATAATCCAATAACTAATAACTAATATTATATCAAAATTTGCAATGAAGGTTTGCATAAACATAGACACTTCTTCTGTCAAACTCACCTAAAATAAATATAAAAAAAATAGAAGAGATATGGAAACCTTAGTAATAAGTTTTGACAGAAATAAAAAGTAAATCAAATTTAATGTCATTATGTTAATGACATAATGACAAAATGTAAAAATTTTGCTAATTTTAAAAGACAATTCTCACAAGGGTAAGCCTATTTAAGACATAAGAACTTCATTTTTCTAATGTAAATTTTTTATGTTAATTTTTAGTATGTTTTGAAAAAGAGTAAAATAAACTCGAAAGCTTAGCAAACCTAAAAGAGTTTTACTTAAAGGCCAATATATTGACTACTAAACCCAATATATCCATATATATTACTCACATAGTCACTAAAGCCCTTTCTAAGAATATATATATATATATATATATATATATATATATATAAATATATATATATATATATATATATATATATATATATATATATATATATATACATGAGAGATATCGTAACACCATCAAATCAGTAAAACCATATTCAGGAGCAGATGTCACATCAGAACATAACCCAATAATCATTAATCTATCTGTCACGCTTAAGCTTAAACGTATGTGAAAACCCCAGAGAACTCCAAAATTAGATATTAGAAAAGTGATAGAAGCTGATATAAAAAACAAACTCCAACAAAAAATATACGAATATTTTGATAAATTAGATACAAACACCTACGAGATAACCAACAATGGGAAACATTAAATACTGCCTCCCCTTTCCATGCAAAGAGATATTAAAAGAACCGATAAGAATGAGAGACAACTGGATGACTGACGAAATACTCAGAAGGATGGACCAAAGAAGAGAAGAACAAAGACAGTCACAATTACAAAATCATTATCAATAAAATCAGAAAAATGATCTTCTTCTTCTTCTTACGGTGCCTATCAGTTCCGTATGTTGGAGATCAACATGGCTATCCTAATTTTGCTTGCTGCTATTCTGAATAGTCCGGTTGTCGGTGTATTAAACCACTTTCTCAGGTTTTGAAGCCAAGATATTTTTATTCTCCCTGGTCCTCTCTTTCCAAATACCTTGCTCTGAAGAATGAGTTGCAACAAGGCGTATCTCTGTTCATTCCTCATAACATGACCAAGATATTCTAGTTTGCGCTCTTTGATGGTGTTAGTAATCAGTAAAATGATAATAGCGGCAAAACAAACTTACTATGGGGAAAAATGTAAAGAGATAGAAGATCTTCAGAAAAAATATGACCTATTTAACCTACATAAAAGGTTAAAGAAATGACAGAGCTGCATAAAAAACCACAACACAACTCTTTTAGATAAAAATGATAATACTATGATAACAATTGACGTAATGCTAAAACGATGAAAAAAATATATGGAAGAGCTCTTCGATGACAAAAGACGAAACCCACAAGACATATCTTTCGAGGACAGAGAAATAAGTACAGAAATTACAAAGGAAAAAATATTGTATGCACTATAGAACACCAGAAACGGAAAAATCCCGGAGCCAGATCAACTGCCTATTGATATCCTTAAAATAATAGAAAACAAGTACATGGCTGTTTTCTTAAAGCTATTTAATAAAATTTATCAGTCCAGTGACATACCCAATGAATGGTTGACCTCTACATTTATTCGTCTCCCAAAAAAGAAAAATGCTAGAGAATGCACGGACCACCGCACCATAAGTCTGATGTCTCACACACTTAAAATGTTTTTGAAGATAATCCATAAATGCATTTACCAAATACTTTATATCGATATTGAAGAATCCCAATTTGGATTTTGTAGAGGCGTAGATATTCGTAAAGCTCCCTTTGCATTCAATGTACTAATCCAGAGATGCTTGGATGTTAACCAAGATATGTACGTCAGGCACACTCTGCATACTCTGAAGAAATTATGAAAAGATCTCTTGAGGGAGAAATAGCAGGAATAAAGATCAATGGAAAACCAATTAACAACATTAGATATGTGGACGATACTATCATAATAACAGACAACCTCAAACACCTCCAAAAGCTAATGAACAAGATAGTTGAGTATGGAGAAGAATATGGATTATCAACAAACATCAAGAAAACTAAATATATGAGGATATGAGGAAAACTAAATTTATGAGATTTTTATAAAAACCCAAAATAATGCTAAAAGCCTGACAATTTACGGTAAAACTTTAGAACAAGTTAAAACCTACAATTATCTTGGCACGATAATTATGCACACAAACGATTACTCCAAAGAAATCAAAGTTTGAATAGAGTAAGCAGGAACAAATTTCAATAAAATGAGAAAGTTACTTTGTGCAATAGACTTGAATTTGACTTGAGGGTTAGGGTGGCAAGGTGTTTATATTTTCATATTTTTATGTTTGCTCTACTTTGCTATACGGGATAAAAGCATGGACACTTAACGTGTCGACTACTAAAAAGTTGAAAGCATTTAATCTGTGGGTGTACAGAAGAATCCTAAAGATATTATGGACCAAGCGTGTAACAAACAACGAAGTCATGAGAAGAGTCAACAAAAGAATCGAAGTATTGGAAACCATCCAGACACGAAAGCTGCAATACCTGGGGTATGTTATGAATAATAAACGATACAACATACTTCAAATAATTATACAAAGGAAAATCCAGGGCAAGAGAAGTGTAGGAAGGACAAGAATCTCATGGTTACGTAACTTGAGGGAATGATACTGCACATCAATCGAACTACTCAGAGCGGCAGCATCTAAGATCAGAACAGCCATGAGAATTGCCAACCTTCGTCGTGGAAATGGCACGTAAAGAAGAAGAATGGCATGTCACAAAGGTTTGAAACGTATATCGGACTGCGACAAGGAGATGCGCTGGCGCCCTTCTTTTCAAAATAGTCTTGTAAAAGAATTAAAAAAAATACAGCTATTTTTATTTAAAACTGGGACAAAAAATGATCAAGCATTAAATTTGGTGAGTATTGTTAAATGGTGTAAGTTCATGGACGCTAAAACTACTTACAATAAATCAAAGTGAAGCATTAGAAATGTGGATGTGTAGACCAATGTGAAAGATTACCTCGACAGCATACACAACTAACATTGAGTAGAGTCAAGAAAAATAGAGGTAGACACTGTTTAGTGAAGGAAAATACCTCATTCATAATATATTCAGAATAGATAGATATGAAATACTGAAGGCAAAAATAAAAGTTCTTAGATATGTAGATAGAAAGCAGGCTTCTTGGCAGATCTCTCTTATATATGCCAAGACCGTAAAAGTTTTGCCTTGGTGATCGCCAACACCCGATACTTCTGATATGGCACAAAAAGAACATAATTAAGAATTTACCTCACAAAGCAGACACAATAGATGCAATACAATGTCTGCTAAATATTATCATACTGGATTGACAATGATATAATAGTCACACCAACATATTACTGATCCTGGACGTAGTATTGCTACCTACAATCATACAAAACAATACCAGCATATAGATTAAATGTAGGATATCCTCGACATTTAGTCTGCATTATTTTATAACTAAGTTCTAATATAAAAAAGAATAATTTTATCACACTTACTATATTTTTATAAGGAACATACGAACAGTTTTTATTCAAGAAATGGTCATAATCACTAAACGTTGGACAAATTTTTAAAGAACCGAAAGCACTACTTATTAACAAACTAAATAGAATTTTTAACAGTAGACCCATTTTGCCTCAATGACAATATTGCTGTTGCACAAAGGTATATAGACTATGACACAAAAGTTGTCAAAATTGATTTTAATGGAACAGAAAGTTAAGAAATTAAATTGTCTTTATATACCAGTGGCGGTACAAAAGTAAATTAGAATTAGAAAGGGATTATTGCTTTTATTATTATTATTAGCTCATTGAAATTTGTACTAGATAAAATATTTTTGATCGATCAATAGCTAAGCATATACTTTTATAAATAATGACAAAAATTTTGTCGAAATCGATGTCAATTAATGATATATACTATAGCTAGTACAAAAGAAAGCTCACTTATATTGTCACAAGAAGTACAATTATGAAGTAATATTAATAATGGGCGATTTCAACACAAATTGGCAAAGAACAAAGTGGAGTTTCTGTAACACTATTTAAACTACTCGAACGTAATGAAAGAAAGAAGACCGTTTGTGTGAGTTCTCTACTGAAGAACAGCTTTTGGTGACAAATACCATTTTTGATCTTTTCGTAGGACGATAATATACGTTAAAATCACCTTAACATTTTCCAGATCACAATTAAAATCCAAATAAACTATATTCCTATCAACAAAAACAAATTAAAGAGTACCCATGATCTTAAAAAATAATAATTTATAAAGAATTAATTG